CTGATCGCAGTCTCATTCCAGTATCGATGATCGCAACAATGTGCCTCGCTCACGCATTCGCGTTTCAGTGCGACCGACTGGCCGTCGCCACGGTTATGGCTAGTGATGGGACCAATCGCCGGGGATTCGGATTCGGACAGATTCGGAAATTTCCGAACTTCCCGCGACGAATATTCGGCAGATTCGGAGATCCGTCAGATTCGTCGCTGGTTGCAGACGGCAGCGTGAAACTTGTCGTAAACCACGCGAATGCGGTCAGTTGTGTTGTTTTTTTTAAGGTACTGTTACTGCGTATAACCAAATTTCGTCTTGTATATTTCAACGTATGGTATGCACTGTACTATCATTCTAAACCCTGGCCTGTTTCTTTAAACAGGGCCGGTGTAAAAGTAGGTGGGGTTGACGTAGGCCTAACCAATGCACGGTCTCGGTTTCTGCGCGGTTTATCGCTGATCGGTAAAATGCAGCGAAACGCTGTGTATTATACATAATGTGGCTCAACGCACACTAAATATATTCGGGCAAGGAAATGATTCCTCTCCTTCTCTAGAGTTGCGTACGTCTGTACTTGTAAGGCGCGAGAGCGAGATGTTGCTCGTCACAACTTCGACTGCCTACCGGCACCGGTTGCGAGAAAAAACGTCGCTGATTCGCGCTGTCGCTTATCCGTTCTCGGCAGCACGTCGGCCGTGAAACGTTACTAGAACTAAATCGGATATCATTAACCAGAAAGGTGCAAATGCACTACAGGAGACTGTAATCGTACGGCGCAAGAAGTTTCAGATTGTTTCCCGTGTTCCAATTGCAATACCTCAGTGGACACACGTTGGAGAGAATCGAATCGAACATACTTGTGGGGTGTGTGCCACTATGACCGTAATTATAGGCACGAAATGTGTCTGTACCAGACAGCACGTACGGCATCGATCTCTCGCGGCCATGAAAACATGCGCTTGTATTTCCACGTGCACCAACATGCCTATTTTGGTCGTAATCCGAAACCGAAACCAATTTTCCCGCGCGGTCTGGCTACCGTTCTCGGAAAAAAAAAAAAAAAAAAAATATAAACAAAGTGGAACATTTTATTTATTACTATGATATTATATTACAACATTATTTTGTGCATTTTGTAGAATTTAGTGAATTTAATATCCCGAAAAGTTGAAACACTCCCAACGTGTTCTAGCAACCATGGCAACGCTCCGATTCTTTCCGAATCTCGGTTCGGATAAAGATTCGTCCTATCACAACGGGTGTCGCGAAGTTTTGTCGAACCGGATTTTTAGGTCGAACTTTTCGGGTTCGACTGGGTCGAACCGGTTCGACGAACCTTCGAACTTTTCACCAGATTCGACCGGTTCGACTTTGCGGACAGTGTGGCCAGACCTTGATACACGCATGTCTAGGTTTGGAGAATTTATTTTATGCAAAGGGTTATTTTATTTTATGAACAGTTGGAATTAAAAGAAACCAATTCTAATCACTGAAGACGTTAATAGCTTAATTTTTTGTGCTGTATTAACTGAAATAACCAATCAGCGGTGCCCTTAACTCATCCCTTAGCCATTACCATCCAATCCGAAGCCAACTGGCCAGCCTGTCGCGCATGCGCACACGAGTCGAACCTCAATACAAGGTTCGTCGGAATTTCCACGAAAAGTTAAAAAAAGTCGAACCTGGTCGAACTCGAACCTCGGCCGGTTCGCGACACCCCTACCTATCACTAGTTTTGGTGTACTACCACGGTGGCTGCTTACAACGGATGGATGAATGGATAAATACGGCTGAACCCTTTTAATCGGGCGGCGGCTAGCGCCACCTAGCCACGATTTCTCGGGTAACCGTGGAAAACTTCCTATCTCCGCGTCCAAAATGTCCGCGTAGCCATCCGAGTCCGCCAGCTTGACGACCGACCTCCCTGCGAGCTTTACACAAATACTTCATCCCTCGCCCTCTGTACCCCCCTCTCCCCGACCCGCATTTTCGACCTCTCCCGCCCCCAATGCGCGCTCTTTTGTGTCCCCCGCCATCGCACGTCCCTACCGGGGCTTTCGAGGGGCTCTTTTGTGACACCCCGAGTGAACTGGAGACCCTCTTCGCTTCGTCGGGGAGGCAGCGAAGACCCATGAGAAGACGGTGACCGGCTGAACTGCACAGACGCCTCTTCTTTCCACCTCGCGCTAGAATTCAACCTCCCGAGCCGAAGCCCAGAACCAAGCTGAGGTCTATGGGCAGCTCAAAACCCAAGAATTTATCTTTAAACCGCGAACGAAAACATATATATTCCGACTTAGCGATGTTTTTCTTCTTCTTCTTGTTGTTATTGCGTTTTGTCCGTTCGTGATGCCCTCCACAAGGTGGCCCGGGCTACTTCCCAATATTAGACAGAGCAAGAGCAAAATATCTGCATGAAGGCACTGGACCCAAAATCGATAGCGAAATCGAAACACTTGGAAAATGGATCGAATTAAGACATTATCCGACTAATTAAACACATATAAAAAAGCTTATTTTTTTCTCTTCTTTTTTTGTATATCTAAACGAAAAGTTTTCGCGAATATCGCGTCATGCGTAGCCAGCAATTTTGGTGGGGGGGACGGCTATGCAGTTGGGCGTCAAAGGTGGAACCCCCAACGAGGTTGGGAACCCCGAAACGTTTCCTCCGCCTACGCCACTGGCTGGGCCCGCCAAACATTCCCGAAACTCGCACTTCGCAACATGCGCGGAATATGTAGCCCACGAAAATCGAGTCGCTTCCAGTAGACGCATTAGCTGCGGGGAGTTTGAAATCGGTGGCGGATGTAGCCGCCCGAAACAGAAGGCCCAGCAGTATGTGTCCAACCGTTCCATCTAAAGAGAGAAAGAGCGCGCAAAGCGGGCGTGCCTGAGGACATTCTTTCCAATACGGTCGCGTCTCGTTACTATGGGCACCGATAGTGGGTTTATGGCGCAGAAATATCTACGTCTGTGGTGCTCCACACGCATGGACTACTAAAAATGTGGTTATGGAGGAGAAAGAGCCCTAGTAGTTGGTGATGATATAAAAAAAACTATAAACGTAAATTATGTATAAAAAAAAAGTATAAGTAAACTGTAGGTATTGACGACCTTCATCGCGTGTTTTCGAACCCAATGTCATAGCTTCGTCTTTGGATCTAAAACTGCGATTTATTTTTGATTCTGGCACCAGAACACCTGCTGCTGTCAACAAGCACGCGCAGGGCGCGGAACTACACTCCCAGCATGCTCCTCGGGTAAAAGGTCGATCGTGTCCCCCGAAGTTATATTTGTAAATTCGTGATACATGTTCAGTTATATCATCCTTCCTCCACATTAGAGCAATTAATTAACCGACTGAAGGTCACCGATTAATATGTCAACATTTTTTTTTTAATTCGTGCACAGTTCTAGTTTTTAGTCGAACGCCAAACTCCCTTTAGCGACCATACAATCTAACCTGCAAGATAAAAAAAAACTGAACGCACGAATTAGCGTTTTTGTAACAGAGCAGCTGCTCACCGAGCGAACTAACGCGGACCAGAAACAGCGGGTCTACATAATTTCCCAGTTAAAGGGGCCATGAAACAAATTTGGGGCTGGGATAAATTCTTTTAAATTGCGACTTTACTGATCGCATATCGTTTAGTTGGCCAAAAGAGAGAGGGTAGACAGTCAAAAGCCAGCTTTTCCGTGCGAACATCTGGAAATATAGAGGATTACGTTGTACCTTCTTTCCTTCGAAAGCTCTCCGCCTTTTCACTATGATACATCCGTGGTTCCAAAAGCGCGTTAGCGGTGCCAACCTGACGTCAGCAGAGCCCAGCTCACGCATTGGACACGAGAACTGCGTCACTCGGACGTATGCGCTCGTCAACAATCAATCCGTCGACGAATATTCGGATTGGCGTTCGTGGCTAATAAGTGCCCTGACGGAACTTATCGTCCCTGGTGATTGACAAGTTCTATGGTTTGCATAAACAGCACGGTGGAAGCTAAGAGTCACCGCACCGGTGCCGAAGAGTGTCACGACGACGAGATTTCACAATTCGCATTTGAGTTGAGGATTAAAGCTAAGGAGGAAGAAGTAGGAAAATCGTTTCATGACCCCTTTAATAAGACGTACAGCCTACCCTCGACGCTCTAGCTGTAGAGGCAAGCCCTGCAGTGTTCACGTGTTCGCTTCTCCCACAGATTGCAGGTGATGTCACTCGCGGCCATGCCAGTATCTTACGGGGCGGGAGCGTTCGGTTCTCGCCGTCAGTTTCACACCGCAAAAGTTGCAGTTCAAAGAAGGCAGTAAGTAGAAGTAACCGTCAGTACCGACCAATGGCGATATCTGCAGGCTCCGTATACGGCGAGATGCGACCGAGGTGTTTCAGTTGTCCCGACTCCATGCGTTCGACAACGAGTCTCGGGAGCCTCGCGTGTGCACGGGCAGGCCGAAGCACGACGGAAGGCAAGGTGCTGGCGGCATTCCAAAAGACGTGCCGTCCTCGTCCTGTCTGTGACAGCGACGTGCGCGACCAAAAGCGTCGCTGTGGTCGGCATAGACGACTGGCGAAACGGTCACTACGGCGTCTTTATCTGGACTACCTCTGTTTCCGCCGACGGAAATAGGAGCAAGACTGCCAACTGTGATGACGGGTGTAAGAATGCGACGACTCAGAGCTTCTGTCGCACTTGTTACACACACACTCGAGCTTGTAGTTTGGAAATGTCAAGTAGCCAGGATCGCAACTCGTGACGCCACCGCCGGAAACCACGAGAGGGCGCCACCGTAAAGACCCAGCTACAGTGACTAGCCGGAACACTGAGGCACAGCTGACAGCGTTTCAAGAAGTCGGAAGAGCAACAAGTCGGGGCTGGAAGGGAGGAGTGAAATTCGGGTGCTTTGCGTGCCAAGCCAACGAAGCGCTCTGCCGCGAGGGACGAAGGTTTGGATCGGATCTTTCGGGTGTAAGCCGAGATCTCGGCCGACGGGGTGTCCACGGGCTGCTCACCTGAGTGTAGCACCAGCTCTCGGCCACGGGCGTGTTGACCTCACTCTGCGGGGGCGGCGTGGGCAGTCGCGGAATGGCCATGCTGCTCGATGACTCGGGCAACACCTCACCGCGCGCAGCTGGAAAGACAAGGGAGAGCGACGCCGTATAAGCAAAAATTCCGTAAAAAAAAAAAAAAAAAAAAGAAGCGCCACACATTGTTGCGAGCAAACCACACGTGGTAGGCACGTGAGTGTGCAAGTCGTCACATTATCGAATTTAACTAATGTGCAATGACGTTTTTTTTTGTTTGTTTTTTTGCGTTTTTGTGGCGACGTAAGATTACTTTCGTGAGACGCTTTCGCTTCTTTTACTCCGCGCGTGGCTTCCATTGGCTTCTTTGCTAGAGGACGCATGAGACGCAAGACGAAGCCACTTGGTCTCGCAGTAGTGCGGGGCTGCAGCACCGTGGAAGCTATAGGTTATGGGCACCTTTATACCCCTATTACACGGGCGCACTTAACTGCGGTTAACTCAGCTTAACTGCCGTTACGCGGCGCCACAGATACCGCACTATACTCTCAAACAGCTATTCCATAAGAACTGAAGAGCGCGCGTGCACTGCTTCGATGGATGATCAGAATGCTCAAACGCACGTTCGCCCATAGTTTTGTGTGCGTAGCCGCAGAATGTCGTCGGCAAATATTGTGCGCTAACTGTGGCTTAGCGTAACTGCAGTTAAGTGTGCCCGTGTAACAAGGCTATTCAAGGCCCTTAAATGGACTCTTTGAAAGAATCGAGGAACCAGTGCACGCCGGTGCACACGTGCAGCGTCGAGATCACGAACTGCCGATACTTCAGACGAGTTCGCACTGAAGGCCATTTATAGGTGCCTGAAAAAAACAGGGGCTTAACACTGAAACCAAAAAGAAAAAAAAAAAGATATGATTATTATTTTAAAACATCTCATTCACGCCCACCGTTTGCCAGCGGAATAGCCTTCTCTATACTGACAAAGCCTGTTGATCACCACGAGATGCGGCCGCCGAAATGAGAAAAGCGGAGTGGCAGACAACGGATGAGAGGAGAGCCACGTGACTAGTGCCCCGCTGCGGCGAGACGCCGAAACACACTTCTCCCAGGAGAATAAGTGTGTTTCGGGTCTTCGCCGAAGCAAAAGCTGTGCGCTGAGGTCCAGCTTCCCCGAGAAATGGCGCTTTGATGCTCTGTGCCACCAGATCCTCGCGCTCCAAATCTGCGACCGGGCACTCTATGGCTGCGTCGTCGAACTGCCAGCATGTGCGTGTATAGAGGAGGCTATGCCAGTGGCAACTAGACGGGCGCACCGTGCCCGATATATACGCACGGGCAGAGCCAGCAACGTGTTCTCGTGACAGTTGCTATACGCCCGCCGTGTCCAGGCCGAGAAAATCGCACAAAAAGACAGAACTTGGCGACGACAGTTGACTTTCAACAGCAAGGTTACAGACGAGCGCGAATGACGAAACGCATCGACACACAGACGCAAGAAAGAACGGAAAATCGGCTGTCGACAGCGTGGAACAGGTTGCAGTGCACACGCTTTGGTGCTTTCACACGAACGATGTCATAGGCGACACACGCATTCGGGCAAAACGGTCGGGACAACGCGTGGCGTGCTCACTCGTTCATCATCCGAGGTTGCAGAGATGTTTCGCGCCGGCCCGCAAAAAACTGCGACATCCGAGTATGACGATTGTCGACCAACATGCATTGTGCTCGAACGCGTTTCGCCAGCGATTGCGACAACCGCTATCGAAACGTTGTCAACGTTGGTTCCCGAGACACGCTGCACGCAATTCTGTTGGGCAACTTTTTTTTTTTTTTTTTTTTTGCCCGTTGATTGTTTGAGGAAAGCGAGCGCCTAATGCACAAGGGGGCCACGGATGGTGGTGGTAGATGCACCAATTACGACCGAGTCCCACTAGAGCAACAAACAAACAACCGACACCGACAAGCCGCAAGGACGGGCGGCATGCACGCGAAGGTGCCTTTGGCAAGCTCGCAGTGTCTCGGTGGTCGGGAAGAAAGCGGGAGTGATTGCACGCCTGTCAACGATAGCTTCGCGCGCTCGCGGCCTGTCGGTGGTTTCTGTTCGTCGATCTAGTGGGACTCGGCCAATAGGAGGGGCTGTAGCTTGCGCTCGGTGCCTTATTTATTTAGGAATGCTGCCAGTCTCGGGAGAATATTTCAGTAGGCGAGGTAAAAATACGCAAAAAAAATATAAGAGAAAAAAGAAGACCGATGACACAGGTCATACATCATATGACAAAACTGAGAAAGAGAGAGAAAAAAACGACATCAAGAAAGCATACATTTATAAACTAAACACGAAGCGCAATAAGCATGTCGACTATAATATTCATCACTCTCCTACTTCAGGCGTGAAAATGCGCATTTGGCGCTGTTCGACTGAATCCCTCGGATCGTAGAGTGGGCTGGAGGGTGTTGCAGGGCTCAGCTCACAGATGGACACGCACGGCGTCACTTGCCTGTCAACGGAGAGCTTCCGCGCCGACGGCACCCCGCCCCCGTCGCTCCGGCAACCTGGCTAAGCACCCTCCGCGTTCCTCTCCCGAGTGCGACGACCACGACGCAGCGCCGCCGCCTCCCAGACCCGCACACGGACCGACCAGGACGCGACCGTGGACGGCACCGGTCTGATCGAAGCGCGGCCCGAACCCCGGAGGGGGTGCACGCCGAGTCGGCAAGGTCGGCCTTCGGAACCGGTCGCGCCGCGCACAGATACTATTCGAATGCTCCGGATCAGAACCTCGGGTCACGTGACGCGAGGAGTAGCTGCCCCCACCCCAACCTCCAATTTGTCGACGAAAGCACAACATCGGCACGCACCAGCGACCTCGTCCCAGTTTAACTTTTGCGTTTAGTACTTGAAACGGGTTTCAAAGAAAATATCGCAAATAATAACAATAATAATAAAAAGAAAATTTGGGACAAAGAAAGCCACATCCCACGGTCACATAAAAAGGTACGCAAGGGGAGCACGCCAATCTCTCACAAACGGCGAACGAAAAACATTCGAATAAAAGACATCACTCCAAAAAAAAAAAAAAAATATATATATATATAAAAGGCATATATACATAAGTATCACAATATTGGGGAGAGGGGGCGAGGGTACTGATAGGGTTCCCTCTTTCAGGTGATCAAAAAGCGAGCATTATGAGAGGAGGGGGGGGGGTTAAAACCCCGCGTTAAAAGACGGTAGAGTAAGGGACGGCCTATTCAGAGTCTGACCCAGTTTTTCGTGTTTCCTCACCCTAAGGGAAACGGAAGAAGAAAAAATAACGATTTGGAAGCGGGATTGTGCGTCTCACGTCCCCGACTTGTCCGCCGTTCTGCCGTCCGACCGGCAGAAGAAACTGGCGAGGAGCCAGCCAACGCGTCAAATCAACATAACATAAAAAAAAAAAAAAGGCGAGCAGACGGACAAACGGAAGGCGACGGGATACAATGGGAGCAACGGCCTTCGACGCCAAGAGAGCATTCTTCGCTCCCCTCCGCGATCGCCCTTCCCCAATCTCCCCCCCTCGGGAGTTGTTCCCGCTCTGCGGTTCCTCTTCGGCCCCGTGTTTACGCGCATTTGATTCGTGTCCTCGCCTCTTCCCCGCTGCCCCCAGAGCGACCGGGCCTGACCTGTCTCGACCCAAAACACTTGACAGTTTGTGTCGCGTATGTACGCGCGCACATCTACGAAAAATGGCCCTTCCTCGGCGCGGTTGACCTACATCCGTTCGAAGAACGGTCGAGCGGACAACATTTGCTCGCCAAAAAGGAACAGCGAGGCGCGAACGAGGGACAGAGATGTATCGCTCTCGTCGAGGAACTCGTTTCGAGCCATACGACATGAGGGCATCCTGCAGACCCGAGGCGGCGGCCCTAATGACGACGCACAAGTGGCATCTAGATTTAGAAAACCACTCGCAGCTGTAGTAGACATACGTATACCGGAACATTCCGGTAACTCCTGGGACAAAAGACATCAATGTTCTTAGAAACATTTCCGGAAATGTCTGAAAAAATATTTAAAGAAAAGTTGACAGCAAATTTTATTCGATGTCAACTTTATTTGCTGTCAACTGTTATAATGCAGAAATTACAGTATTTAAGGAGCGATTATTTCAATTTCTTCAGAATACATTAAACGGTAGTTTTGGGGTAGAAAAAAAAATCTATATAGTATATAATATATACATATTTCTTTTTTTTTTTTCGCGTGACGTCAAATTTTTTTGTTAGATTTATCGGGGAAACTAAACTGCTGTACAAGGCACGTGACGTCAGGTCGCGTGATGTCAATTTTCCCGCTAAATCTAGCGGGAAAATTGAAGTGGTCTATACTTCTCGTAACGCCAGGTCACGTGACGTCAAGTTTCCCGCTAAATTTAGGGAAGACAAGGAATTGGTGTACAGGTCACGTGACAAAAAATCTCGCCGCTAAATTTAGCGGGAAATGCAGCACGGACGAACGGACTTTACGGATTGGGAGTTAAGGGTTTCCTGCTGTACAAAAGGGTGATGTTTGGGGAGTGACGTACGAAACAAACGTCAGGCGTCTGGCACACCGCAGCCCCGGAGTACTTATAACTAAATTAAACTACCTAAATATACTTTTTCTTTTTTTACACGCCACTACGTTTTTTTTTTGTTTTTTTTTTTTTTTTTAGACTTTTGTGTCGTTGTTTGCTTTCGGGATTTTTAGGGCATGCAAAGCTCACCGGAGTCGTCCGTATTCTCTCGTGCGCTACCATTTGAAAAATAGCGCGCTCCAAGCAAGCGAGACACCAAAATGGAGCCGAAAGAAACACGTTCAAAGACTCGCTTTCCGTCTGTAAACAAGTGTGCGCGTATTCCCACAAGAGCTGTGGCCCTTTCCAAGGTAAGTGTTTTGCCCCGTTCTACAGTCAGCGCTACCGCTTCGAAAGACACGCGAATTGCCGCGTATCTTCCGATAACCGATACATCCCGCTAAAACGCCGACGGGCGCGACTCGTGCCAGGTCGCGCTTGCAGTGCACCGCAGCCAGGTTCACCACTGCTGCTGCTGCTGCGACCGACACGACACGCACGACTGACGTCAA